CCCTCGGGAGGGCCTCCCATGCCCTTCGTACATGTTTTTAAGAAATACCCCTCGATTTGTACTTGAATTGGACACCCCCATATCAAGATCTGATCTCCCCGATTGCTACTTGAATTGGACAACCGCAAAATCCCCATATCAAGATCTGACCTCTCCCCCCCCCCCCCCCCCACCCCACCCCCCGGGAGGGGGCGTTTACTGATTGCGAAGTGAAATACACGTGCAGATAAGCATGCATGCATACACACGTACACACAGATGTATTCACAAGTAAGCATGCACACAGAAAGTACCCGCTGGTCTTCACAAGTGTCCCGTAGCAAGAATCTTAGAGGGTTCACACGAGCCTTCAGAGGCTTCAGTAGTGTGACCCGCCTGACCTGGATCCCAACATTCTGTCGGACATCAGGGTCTGGACTGTCTGGCAGCATAACCAGATAATGAGCTGCTGTCATTTAATGAAAAATAACTGTAGTGAGTCAAAAAAAATAAAAAATAAAAAAAAAATCAAATGAGTCTGAAAGGGGAAAAATAATAGCAGAAAAATGAATCTGATTAACCTGAAAGGAGATAAGTGAAAAGGTTTTCACCTTTGCAGGAGCACATGCAGATCCCAGGGCTCGATCCCTAGACCTCACCTCACCTCACCCGTGTACAGTACCCTTGTGTGTTTGAACCCGTGACCTGCGTTTTAGGAGTCGGTTGTTGTCTGTCGTAGGGCAATGTAGCTGTCGGGTCTTGAACCGTAGGTCTGTTGAGTAGGGGTCATAGTTGTGTACAGGCTGTAGCTGTAGCAATTCTGAAAGGTCAAGGTCGTAGCTGCTACAGTTCCGAAAGGCCAAGTCTGCAGGCTTCCGGAAGGTGCGGAAGTGGCCTTTCGAACGTTGCTCACAGCAGACCAGAGGCAAGTGGGCAACTGGTGAGTCCAACCTTGCTTAGTCAGCGGTACCCAGTCCCAGTCTCACTTAGTCCAGTCAGCAAGTACCATGTGGGACTGTAGGCACCAAGGGCCCGGCGGAAAGGGGCCAGACCAGCAACCAACAGAAGTATAAATCAAGAGGCAGCATCCAGCCATTCATTCATTTCTGGGTGAGCCATGCGGAAGCGCTGCCCAGGCGGTTGTGCGAGGTGGTATGCAGATGCCCAAAGTTGAAGTGGGCTCCACCATAGGTTAGAGATACTGTTTCAGTGTGTAAGTGAGTGTGAGCGAGTACAGCGTGAGTGCATGTGGGATATCCTGGGAGATCCAGAGTTGAGTGTGTGTAAACAGTGGATGTAAACTCCGAGTGGATAAGTGAAGTGGAGGCGGTCAATAGCCATAGCCATTCTGAAGCAAGTTTGTATATGAGTTGTGTGCGCGCCCAGCGCCAGTGTGAATTGCCATCTGTTTCCATGTATGCGAAGTGGAGAAAAGCGAGTCTGATTGCATAAGATTCAAGGACAAAAATAAAAAACGAACTTTAAAAGGGAAAAAAACACTTTCGAGCCAAGAAAAAAAAAGAAAAGGAAAAAAGACATTCAAGCCACAGTAGCCGCATATCATGATTAAATAGATGGAATTCAAAAGAAAAAAAGAAAAAAATGAAAAAAAGAAAAAAAGAAAAAAAGAAAAAAGGAAAAAAAAGAAAGATCCTGAAACGATCGTACATTGCTTACTTAGTTGTACGGAAGCAGAATATATATGGGCCATGGCCGGTATACTTTGGGAGCGTACTACGGACGTTCTCTTTCCAAGTAGCGGAAGGCTCTTGCTTATGGGAAGAGAAGTACCTAAGACATGGAAGGAGAGTGAAAAATACATCTTTCAGCTATTGAGAACTTGAGACAGTATACATCGTGGATTATCTGGAAACGGAGATGTCAACGGGTGATCGGCAAAAGTCTGTTGACTAGTATGGAAGCCAGAACCATACTCTATAATCTATTGGAAACAGACATTAGAGCTCAATGGCAAAGGATCAAAATACAAGCAGCGGTAAACCCTGAAAAGGCGAAGGCTATTCTCACAAAATTTCAGAATAAGGTATTGGCCAGTGGCAAAGTTGCGACYATAGAGGGACAGAGACTGATTTTTCATTGGTTTACGGAGGACAGATCAGAGGTGTCCTTGGGGGTCCAAAGAATGACACAGGAAATAGGACTACCATAGGGATAGGAAATGGGAGAGAAAGTGGAGGTAAGTGGATTGATGTTTAAGCAAGATAAAAGTTATAGTTAAGGGTTTAGGGTTTAGGGTTTGGATAGACTTACACAAACAAGGTTCGGAATGGTAATGTTTTTTAGGAGGACTTCATGAGGGACACACAGATTATGCTCTTACAGTTAAAAAAAAAAAAAAAAAAAACATTAGGACTAAAGATGAGTGGAAGACAAACCTGCAATCAGACTCGTTTTCAAACACACTTTTCATGTATGTAAACAGCACGCAGCATACTGGCGACATGCGCCCACTCAAAACTCAGAGATATGGCTTTCAGATACGAGTTCACTCTCAATTGGCTATGGCGACTTCAGCGCCCAAACATCTCACTGTTCACATACACTGGATCACCCTGGATACCCCACACGCATCACTCTAACACTCGAACACACACACACACACACACTACTAACTACAGCTATGGCAGCT